GATTATGTCAAATAGAATTTTCGATATATATTTACTAGTATGTAAAGGGTCTACAAAGCGAAAGTATGTTTCGAAATCTGTTTATCAATTTCACGCTGCTCTGTGGCGGTGTGGGGTGGGGGAAACGCGCGCAATGAATTGGAAGTTGATCTGTCAGCACTATCCTTATCTTCAGGGGCAGATATTTTTATTTTATTTGGCTTATAATTCCTTACTAAATGTAGTATTTCATCTTGATGTACTCCGTCTTTGATATGATTTAAATCAAGTTCCTCATCATTATAATTCGCTTCCGATAGCGAAGAAAGTGACCCACACATTATTGAAAACGAAAAAATTTCGATTGACAAATTAGTCGGTATTCTCGACTTAACAATTATAGGACTTGAACAACGAAACATTGTAACTAAACAAGAAATTATGTCTGTTTAATAGAATTAAAGAGAAAGTATTATCACATGAAATGAAGCAACTTAAACAACTTACATTGAAAGAAATGTTTAATAAAGTAAACAAATAAATATTAAGTTTTTTTTTTTTTTTTTTTTTTGTAAATTTTGGTACCCTTTAGATCATAATTGTTCTTTATTTCATAAATTATGGTTTCATATTTTTAATTTGTAATTTCTGCATGCATTTCTTACCAGATTTAAACTGATGATCTATAATCCGGAAAAATCGATAATCCGGAATCGCCGAAGTCCCGACGAGTCCGGATTAACGACTTTTGACTGTAATTACTTAAAAATTGAATTAGAATAATCAACAATATTTTAGCGAATATAGTTATATTACATGGTTAGCCTAGTTGACTGATTACCATTTTTTTTATTTTACTGCAAAATGACAAATAAGGCATTTATGAAAAAGAAAAAACAAAGTTTAAAAGATTTTGAAGTATAATCCTAGTATACGGTAAGGCCTTGCTCTGATTTTGAAAATTGTCGGCAATACAAAAATGACCCGTTTACTGCTTATCATAATGTCACCAAATCCAGTGTATACCATACATGAAGGTTATTCTAACCAAAGAATGTCTATGTAAAGAAGAAAAGGTTCCATAGATGTAATACTATTATGGCGGTAGAAAGCGAAGGGAAAATTTGCCAAGGGATTTGGCGACAGAAACTGACAACCAGAATTTCCCTCTCCGCGATGTGTACAGGAAATTGAGAAACACGTGTGAAGAAGAAACATTCTTTGACAAAAAAACTACGAAAATCCATTTTTAAATTATTGCAAAAACTCCAAGAAGAAACGTTTTGCTAAAGAACGTTTCTTTTTGGATTTTTCGCAATAATTTAAAAACGGATTTTCGTGGTTTCCCCCCCCTCCCTCAAAATAACTAATCTATGAATTAATTTACCTAGGCCAAAAAATATTTTATTTTCCTTTAAAGTTTAAAGAAATTTTAAATGATATTCATTTTATGAACTCTTGACAACGTGACCTTCGAACTTCGACACTGGCTTCGTGCTTTGGCGACAGATATTTCGTGCATGCACAGCTGTTTCCCTCTATGTTGGAAGAGCCACGTTTATTGCAGACAGGTTTTCCTTCTTTCCTTCTACATATTTTTTTTATTCTAACCTCCATTGTACCATATACTATGATTAAACCCATTTTGTTTTATATGAAAATAAGTATTTTCTTTAGTTCAACATGCAATCCGCATGTGATTCTCTCGATTCTCAAGGTTACTGGAAACCAAAAGTTGCTTTGCCCTTTCTAAGAGAGGCTCTACTCTTACATGCGCCCTAAGATAACCAAATGTGGCGATATCTGTTCTGTGCTTTTTGGCACGATTGCGTGTGGTATGGCAACCCTTTTGACGTTGAAAACTCTTTCGCTGGAGTGGTTTAATTGCTCATTGGTTTGTGTCATGCGTGTTTTGAAATGGCCTATGTTGCAATGAGAGACGTGGTTGGAAGAGGGTTGCACGATAGAAGTAAGGAAACGCTGATGCAGTGTATTAAAGAGTGGATTGAGTTTTGTATAACTATTTTTTTGGATGGCTGAAAATCTTTCAAGGATTTAGGAAAAGAAGGTTTTGAACATTTATTTGTGAACCATAGTATGAATTTTGTGGATAGCGAGTCTGGCTGTCATATAAATACCATAGAGGCGGCATGTTAAAGCTACGTTCTGCTCTCCAAAGAAGCATTGATTATGGTAAGTGCATTTTATTTTATTGTTTTTATTTTGTAGAATGTTATGTTCATTGTTTTTTTACTATGAATTTCTGTTTTTATTGTTGTTTTTTGAATTATTTGTAATTTATTTTAGTTATTTTTTTTTATTTTGTTGATTTGTGTGCAATGCCTAGATTGTGCAATTCGTATATTTTTTTTAAGTTTAAACGGAATGCTGTGTACATGGTATTTTTTGAAATTTATTGTTGTTATGTTAATTTATTAAAGCGAGGTGTGTTTAGTTCGTAGATACCTTCGTAGGCTACATTGTGCAATTCATAGATGTTCTTTTAAGTTAAAACATATCGCTGTGTACATGGATTCTTGTCAAATACTTTTTGGTTAGGAAATTTATGTTTTTGCTATCTAAATTTTTTGTTTTTCTTTCGGATTTTTAGCTTAAATTGTGTGTTCAAAACGTGGTTTTTGCCTGAGGACCTGAGGCCGACTTGAGGACGCATGTAAGAATAGTTCCCTAAAAGACAATCAAATTGGAGCTGCGAAAATTGACTCTAAGCCAGCTGTTCGAATGACTCTCACACAATACACAATTCGCCAAAAAGTTATCTCTTCCACTGTTGGCGAAAACTCACTTTTTTTGGCGGTACTCTTGTATGAAATTCCCCCACTTTTCCAGATTTTAACCAAAATATTTAAATTTCCTGACTTTTCTCTGAATTTTTTGGTCAATTTTCAAATCCCCTGACTTTTTCCGGTTTTCCAGGTAGCGTGGCAACCCTGTTATTTTTTGTTTATAATGCAACTTACGTCTTTGGTAAATATGCTCTTCTTAGAAAACACATTGTCTCTTAGCTATTCTGGTGTTTCACATTTAATGATTAGCATTATACTTCAAATGCACATTAAAATAAGGGTTAATATTTGGATTATGGTAACTTGGCGATTTTTTGGCGACCAACCCTGCTACAGCAACCTGCTATTTTTTTTGGACGCCATTTTGTTTTCACAAAGGTAAAGGCTTTTTTTTTTTTTTTTTTTTTTTTTTTTACTCAATATTTTTTTCCCAACTATCTGCTAGCCGAATTAGGCTTATGCTAGAACTTTTATAGAACAAAAGTGCTTAATCACGACGAAGATTAGGTGCGAAATTGGGAGTAAGTGCGATTAATCTTTGGATTATGGTAACTTGGCGATTTTTTGGCGAAAATTTTGCGACTAACCCTGCTACAGCAACCTGCTAGTTTATGTTTGGACGCCATTTTGTTTTCACGAAGTAAAGGCATTTTTTTTTTTTTTTTTCTTTCTTTTACTCAACATTTTTTTCCAACAATCTGCTAGCCGAATTACGCTTATGCTAGAACTTTATGGAACAAAAGTGCTTAATCATGACTTAGATTAGGTGTGAAATTGGGAGAAAGTGCAGAATCGCAAACTGCTTGCCGCGTTTTTAAGAATTGCACATACACGGTATCATCTATGTACACGTCGACCTATTTTCACTTAAAAAAAGATCCCAGAGTTGCACAAAAATGGCATTGCGCACACCCTTGACTTTATCCATGTACACTGCTTAAGTCCTAGCTAGTAACCTTTATCGCCTTACCAAAATGTTGCCAAACTACCTGTTACCATATTCCAAAGATTAGCCGAAAGTGCAGAATCACAAACTGCTTGCCGCGTTTTTAAGAATTGCACATACACGGTATCCATGTACACATCGACCTATTTTCACTTAAAAAAAATCCCAGAATTGCACAAAAATGGCATTGCACACACTCTTGACTTTATCCATGTATACTGCTAAAGTCCTAGCTAGTAACCTTTATCGCCTTACCAAAATGTCACCAAACTACATGTTACCATATTCCAAAGATTAGCTAAAATAAACTTTGATAAATTGTTAAATTTTAAATTTTTTATTGCCCAAAAGCATACGGCTAATCTTTAGAATATGGTGACAGGTAGTTTGGCGACATTTTGGTAAGGCGATAAAGGTTACTAGCTAGGACTTTAGCAATAATCTGAGAAGTACACAGTTCGAATCACAGATTATTTTGTCTCAGAGAAATGAGAGATTGAGACATGTAACGTGACATTTTCCGGAAAATTCTGATCGTGATTTTAGCTAATAAGCACTTAGAAACAATTTCGCTGCTAAAGTGCAGAATCGCCCACTTATTTGTTTGGCGCTTTTTACAAGAGTAAGAAGAATTGGATTTTTGTCAATATTCTTTGGACTTTTTAAGTGAAAATCGGTCGATGTGTACATAGATAAAGTCAAGAGTGTGCGCAATGCCCTTTTTGTGCAATTCTGGGATGTTTTTTTAAGGGAAAATAGGTCGACGTGTACATGGATACCAAGTATGTGCAATTCTTAAAAACGCGGCAAGCAGGTACTCTCAATTTCGCACCTAATCTTCGTCGTAATTAAGCATTTTTTTCCCATAAAAGCTCTAGTATAAGCGTAATTCGGCTAGCAGATTGTTGGAAAAAATGTTGAGTTAAAAAAAAAAAATGCCTTTATTTCGTGAAAACAAAATGGCGTCCAAAACAAAACTAGCAGGTTGCTGTAGTATGGTTGGTCGCCAAATTTTCGCCAAAAAATCGCTAAGTTACCATAATGTAAAGATTTACCAAGCATACAAATGAAGTTATAAAAAATTTTTAAACATTTTGAAGCTTGCATTTATAATTTTTATTTAAACAAATTAAAACAGAAAAAAAAAAAAAAAAAAAAAAGGTTTTCAACTTTTAAAACACATAAATATGACAAATTTAAAAAATTAACTTAAGATGAGATATGGTAATTAAAATAATAAAAAATAAATAAGAAACTATTTAGCTTACATGTGAGGTGGCAGCTCATAAAAGTTCACATTTTTATACTGCTCAATAACATCATTAGTATATAAGTCCAAATCCTTATAGGGATTTACTGAGACTACAACAGGTCCAATATATGTCTGTAAAAAAAAAATTTCAGAAAGAAAAATCTTACTGTAAATTCAACAAATGCAAAACTAATATTGCTAAATCTAAAATAAGTTTCATTAAGAGCCCTCAAATTTTCTAAAGTGCCGACTTCTTTAATGCATATATTATAATGCACCTGCATAACTTCATATATATTCTATTTGTTTACCATATAATAAAACCAAGAGAAATTCATATTTTAATATACACACATTAAAAATACTATCTTTCATTACTTATGTGTGCAAAAATTATATATAGAATTGGTTAGTCTATATTTTAGGGTGCCCCTTGGATTATCGCTAAGTTGTTTCATTTATCCACAAATCGTTGTTTTATTTATGGTAACCTGAGTAGTGAAATGTTACAGAAACTCTATTATGATGCGATTGGTTGCGTGATGAATTTGACTGATAGGAAAATATTTATAAGGGCTTATTTCTGCATTGGATGTCAGTTAGGAAGTATGTTACATATTTTGTGCTTTACATTGTGAAATGGCTACCAGTGGTAAACTGGGTGTTTGGTGGTATAGAAGAAGAGAGTGGAAGGTGTTTTTTGAAGTTTTCATTTTATGCGTTTCATTTATTGCCAAGTTGTCGTTTCATTTATGGTAGCCTGAGTATTTGAATGTTATGGAAACTCTATTACGATATAATCAATTGTATGATTGTGGTAAATTCGTAATGTGGATGTGTGTTGGTTAAGAAACAAGATTAATTTGAAGTTTCTGTACAATTTGGAAAGAAAGGGGAAAAAGCATTACTTGACTGGTATGTAAAATGAAGATTACTTAGTAGCTATTATTAGGTATCAAATGTGTATGGTCGAACATCGCTATGGAGGATATTTTAGACTTATTTTGTGAATTTATGTGGAGACAACAGTATACAGATCCTAGTTCAGATAATTTTAGGAAGTGTTTGGATGCTGTTAAGGAATTTTCGGCTGATCTTTGGAATATGGTAACTGGTAGTTTGGCGACATTTTGGAGGCGATAAAGGTTACTACCTAGGACTTTGGTAATAATGTGAGAAGTACTCAGTTCCGATTACGCATTATTTTGTGTGAGGGAAATGAGAGATCATGAGATATGTCATGTGACTTTAATGGACGAATTACAGTTCTTTAATCGGAAAAGGAGGGAAAATCTGGAAATTTTGTATTTAGCTTTATTCTGTGTTGTGTGAAACAGTGTTGGTTAATTTTTTGGATCCCATGGCCCTAACTAAAGTGAATTCGAAATGGGTATTTAGTGGGATTGAAAGGGGTAGTAATAAGTGTTTTTTTAAGGTTGTGCGAGATATAAGTAAGATGTTTTATTAAGTTATTATTTTACCTGGTACCTTGCTGTGAACTATAAGTATGATTTTAAAGATCCTGAAAAGGCGCAATACGCTTGCTTTTATTTAGCGTAGGAAATAAGAAAAGTTTATCGGCCACGTAATCAAGATTCTGAAGAAGATTAGGTAAGTTAGTATTTTTAATTATTTGAGGATATTATTTTTATGCATTGTTCTAAATGTAAGGAGTAAGAAAGTAAATGGTATTATTGGAAAATTGTTATTAGCAATGATTTAGTTTAAAGTAATTAGGATTGTAAGCTAATTTTTTATTTAATGTATGTGCTTATTTATATTTTAAGTAGTGTTTTTGAATTTAATTATATTTTAATTAAATGATAGTTATTTTGTGAATTTATGTTTGTAGGAATTTGGTATACGTTTTCAGTTGGAAGTAAACGTGCATGGAAATAATTTTAAAATAATTAATTTAAATATTTTTGACACTAAGTATTTGTAACCATTTGTAATGTTTGAGGTATGAATTCGTTGGTGTTTTATAATATAATAGATAATTTAGAGGTAAAAGTTTTTGGATATTTTATTTATTTTATACGTGGAAATGTTCATCCTTGGAAAGGGTATATACTTTTTCGCGATCAGGTAATTTCATATATGTTCTTTTTACCGAGTTTAAAGATTCACAGAATTTTTTTTGCATTTTCGTGCAAATTTTTGTAATTTATGAGAAAATAGCAGTGTAGATGGATAAAGTTAAGAGTGTGTGCAATGCCATTTTTGTGCAATTCTGGGATGTTTTTTTTAAGTAAAAATAAGTCGACGTGTAAATGGTTTATGTGTATGTGCTATTCTGAAAAACGCGCAAGGAGTTTGCGATTGTGCACTTTTTTCCCAATTTTGCAGTTAATATTTGTCATGATTAAGCAGTTTTGTTACATAAAATTTCTAGCATAAGTGTAATTCGGCTAGTAGATTGTTGGAAAAAGTGTTCAGTAAATAAAAAGAAAAGAAACATGTCTTTACTTCGTGAAGACAAAACGGCGGCGAAAAAAAATAGAGGGTTGCTGTAGCAGAGTTGGTCGCCAAATTTTCGCCAAAAAATCGCCAAGTTACCATAATCCAAAGATCAACCGAATTTTCTTTGACTGAAGACATGTTATTCCGTAAATAAGTGGATATTTCCTTTGTGTAGTGCAAAGATGAATTTCCTTTTTATGTTATCTCATTGTTTGATTTAAAATGTAGTTTATTGACATTATATATTTTTTTTTGTTGGCTGCTCCTTTCACTTTTTATGTGAATATAGTTCGGTATATACATGTCAAATTCAAGGGAGTGTGCAATTCTCCAATTTTTTTTAAGTGAAAATAAGTCGATGCATATATGGATAAAGTCAAGGGAGTGAGTGCACAATGCCAAGTTTGTGCAATTCTGTGATTTTTTTTTTTAAGTGAACATAGGTCAATGTGTACATGGATACAGAGTTCATGCAAATCTTTGTCTTAATTTTGGCTTTGTGTAGCAGCACTTTTTGGTGCAAAAATTGCCGCTACACAAATAAAAATAACAAGTCAAAGAATTACACAAACTTGGTATCCATGTACCGCCAAACATCATGAAGGGGTACCCGTAAATATATTTTCACCGTGATGAGTAATGAATGAAATGTAATATTTTTAAATAACTGCCAATAATGTGTTAAAATAAAAACTATTTCAATAGAAGTAACTTACCTTCTTATTTAACAGAATTTGTATGAATGCAAACACATTACAAAAAATAATAATCTCATGAGACTTTGAATGCAAATGAAAAGGAATATCCTCCAGAAATTTTTAAAAAAAAAAAAGTTTAATTAATCTGATGTTAAAACAAATATTTCTTCAGCAAAAGGCAGTGTATTATTATTTGTATTATCATTATCACTTGGCAGTGCATCGGCACTGTAATATTCAAGTACAATATTTGAATCCTTAGCAAGAGATATCATCTGCATAAAATTCAAAAATTTAATTCAATTTTTTGGGAAGTAAGCAGAAGATATATTAATGTACAAAATAGAAATGTGCTGGCAACACTAACATCCTACATTAGCTTCTTTGAGGTTTTTTTTTTTTTTTTTTTTTTTTTTTTTAAGGTTCTATTTCTATACACATACACTATATATCACAAACTGAATATTAATGAAAAAAATATACTTTCCCCCGATGCCTAATCTAGACTTTTAAGACAAATATAAATTCCATATTCAACATACTTTACTATAAAGATAATATTAATATTAAAAAAAATCTCATTGCAGTATACTATAATTTATCTGCGAGATCTAAAACTATCATACCGAATACAGAATTACTTAATGCAGGTGATAGTTAATAGAGAGCAGAGACACTTGGCAGGCATCAGAGGTCCACAGGAATTGTCTCAGCCCTCTCATCAGGAGTTCATTGGAACAAAAATACTTTTGACGTGGCTAGACTAAGGCTGAGACTACATAAGTAATACATCAAAGATTATTACAGTGATATGCTACAGAATTCTATACACAGTAATAATTTAAAATAGGATTGAATTGGATTATTCAATTATGGCAAAGCACATGAGGGCTATCTGCCTAAAGTGAGGAATGCCTTCGTGGAGGACTTTCTAAGTAATATTTTTTCTAAGTAATATATTTCTAAGTAATATTCTTTCTAGTAAATATTTTGACGTAATTTAATCACTTAAAATAAGACTTTTGAAAACACTTTAATGACATTCTTAGAAATGCATTTAAAATTCTGTCTTTGAAGGAAAATTTTCTGACTTTTCTAAGGGAAACTGGTTTGTATACATGTTACACGTGGGGAAAACCATGAAAACGGCCATGCAGCCAGCCCGTTCGCGGGATTCGAACCTCAGACCGAACTACCAGTGTTCAGAGTCTTTACCACTCGGCCGCTGGTTAGCCTAATTTAAAATAAATAAAAACTTAAAGAGCTTACATAAAATAAGATTTTCTTTGAACCTCTTGTGTATATTATCAACAAATGCCTCCTCATTTCTGTAGTCTTCCAAGAGAACAAAATCTTGGACACCTACTTTATCACGAGCATGCAAAAAGTTTTCCATCAGTGTCTTCAATCTGTTTTAGAAAAAAAAATATTTATATATAAAAGATACTGTTCACAAATAAAACATTATTTAAAATGAAACTAAAATAATAACTTCTTGTGAGGAATATCAAAGCAAAACTACTAAACAAATGCAACTTGTCATTATTAAAATAAAATTTTCCAAGAAAATATCTTAAAACAATATAATAAAGTTTATTCGAATAAAAAAAGTCATAATAAGAAAAGCATAATAATGCAAAGAATTACTAAAGTTATAAATTTTTTAAATACATTAAAAACCCAAACAATTTTTTACAGCTATGTGCAGACTTTTTGTGACTTTTCTGATGGTCTTGCACAAAAAGTAAAATGCTTAACTAAAGCTTCCTGAAAGGTTTTCCAAGATCCGATTTATTTTCATTAAAACAGCATGAAGATGTACTTAAACAACTATTGCATTGCGATATCTTTACAAATTTAACTACATGATATAAATCTATAATAAGTTAAACATAATACATCTTTAAACAAGTGATGGATAAAAAAATATCATCAGTTTGATTTTTAGTGAAAATTAGTAAATATTTTGACGTAATTTAATCACTTAGAATAAGACTTTTGAAAACACTTTAATGACATTCTTAGAAATGCATTTAAAATTCTGTCTTTGAAGGAAAATTTTCTGACTTTAATTACATTGACATTCTTATTATCTTGATGATATGCTGATGAATTATATTAATAACCACAATTTATAATCCTAAAAGGTCAGCAGAATTCAGAAAAACACCTCAGAGACCATCATTGCCCATGCCGAATGTATTACGCGGACTTTTTAAAAAGATGTTTATAAAATTAAGCAACAAATATGAAACCAAGTGAGAAGCTCGTAAACAAAGCGACAGGCTCACATTAAATAAAATAAAGTTCAGTATCTAGCTTAAAGTAAAATATATTACAGATAATTTAAATGGAAATGTGAAGTACTGAGAAATAATTTCAAATTCATACTTTTAAAATAAGCCGAAACTCTTAACAAGACGGCTTTGCCACATGACAGCAATTTATGTAAACACCGGAACTGTGTCATATACAAACTAAAAACTCAAATGTCGGCACACTTGGCACGCTAATGTTTTTTTAACTTGTTTACGTTAGTTTCATTTTTGGCCGCACACATGTACATAGAACTAAACAATAGGTTTACTTATTTTAAAAAAACTTACCCTTTATCACATTAAAATTTTATACCAATTAAAAAAGGACTTAATGAGTAAAACAAGATTTTCGGACAACTCATAGCCACCAACGCATTTAAAAACAACGAATCACGTTTAAAAAGGCGGTCAAATTGATGGACTACTACTTCCCTTTAAAGGCAGACTTGCTACACTAAAAGAAAACTCTTCGGTTACAGTTACTGGCTCCTACTCAAAAGTGGAAGAAGTAGATTAGATAGAGCAAATCGGAAAGGAACATTCTATCCGAAAATTATCATACAAGACTCAACGGGAAGAAAGGAAACTACTTCCATGTAACTAGCTACACTCTCCTCCAAAAGTTAAGCAAGCAATGAAATTATTATAGCGGTTTTCAAAAGAGTGGCAGAGTGATTGAGGATAATTTTTAACAATATTCGTATTTTTACGGCTGAAAGAAGACGAATGATAATCACTGAGCATTGGCATGCTGGAGAACGCACTAAAGCAGCTCGGTTAAAGAAAAATGTCGGTTTATCATTCGGTAATTTATCGAAGGTGGCGACAATTCCAAACAGAAAAAGGCTGAGAACATCAGGCACTGAGAAGTGGCTTCATGGCGGGTGGAATTTTAATGGGATATCACACCCAGCTGTACATCTTTAACGCTTTCAGGACCAGCTTCACATATAGGCGACGCAACGATTCCCCTCCTACCATCCCAGCGACCCATACACGTGACGCAACGATTCTGCTCCTACGAACCCAGCGTCGCGTATAGGTGACATTAAAACGTAACGATTTATTTGAATTTTTAAAAGCCAGTACATGGGGCTAAGTGGTAATTGTTTTCACACAGCTTAATTCATACAGCATTTGACCTTCATGTACTGGCATTAGTTTCTGTTTTGTGCTTCTGGTTTTGAGAGATTTATTGAAATAAACAAACTGGAAAACACGGCTCTTTATAAGTGCGCCTGTGAATTAAAGGGGCACAGGCGTTTTTGTTTACTTCGTTAGGATTTCCCCCCTTTTTTTCTATTTATTTTGAAACTTGACATAAGCTTTCTTGGTTAATTAAAAAGTAAAATTACAACATTATTACACAAGGGGAAAAACTATCAGCTTTTTCGACGCATAATGTGTCTTGCTCGCATTTCTCAGGAAACAGACAGCGTTTTTGTTTTTCTCACTCGATTTAATAGGTCATTATATATAATGCCTTGAATGGTCATTATATATAATAACACAGGCATTATATTTTGGTATATAATTTATTTACGTTACATATAATGTAAATTATATATAATGTTGTATGATCTTAAATTCACTTAGTGCGAATATATATATTGACGTGATCAGTAACAGATATCCCGCCAGTGGGGGATCTTCCCTTGATCACTTTCCAGTTATCGCGGACGCTGTTTTTGATTTAGAAAAACAGGAAGTTTTCTAATATAAACCTGGTGTCACACAGGGTTTGAGGATGAAATATTTCTGAGTGTCTTTTGAAGAATTTTTGGGACATGTGCTGGGGTTATATTCAGTTTCATTTCGTTAGCTATGGCTAAGAGACCTTACTTAAAAACTTAAAATTTTGCCCAAAATCACCGGACACTCCATTTTTCCGTCTAACTGGAAGACAGTTTCCGAAAATTTACGTTGACGGAAAAGGTAATAAAGATAGGAGAAGATGCGTTGTTTGCGCTAAAACCAAGGAAATACAACATATTTTGAGTGCGAAATTTGCAATGTGTGTCGATCCTTGTTTTGAATTATTTCACGCATAGCAGAATTTTTAAATTGGAATTTAATTACCTACAGGTAATTCTTTTTTTTTTTTTTTTTTTTTTTTTTTTTATATATATATATATATATTTCGTATTTGACAATTTTTTTTTGTGTGTTTATAGTATTTATTTCTGTGTGTATAGTTAGAATTTTAGTATTTTATCTTCATTAATTTATTTCTATTAATGTGACATTCTTTATATTAATACACATTAAAAACAAATACATTAAATGCGTATCTTCAAAAATTGAAGTCATAATATCAAAATTCTGATTTTATATGATTTTTTTTTTTTTTTTTTTTTGTAAAATTAGGCTTAATGCTGAAAATGCGCGGGCCGGTAGCGACGATCCTTTTCAGCGGTTCCGGTCCCGTGACTGCGCTTCGTTCTCCCGGCGCTGGTCTTTAAGTGGTTAGAAACAGTATTTGACGGCCGAGCGATATTGAAATTAAGTCTACACATCCCATAATGAGACTCCAATTTGCAGTATTTGGTCCTAATTTCCCCCTTATGCGTGATAATGCTCGTTCCTATTGCGCCAACATCGTTAACGAGTACCTGGAGAATGTGGGCTTTTTTTGTATGAAATGACCACCATATTCTTTTCAACAAAAATCCCACAGAAAATCTTTAGGATGCCCTCGGACATACTGTTTCTTTACGTTTACCTCCTCCAGATATTTTCAGACATTTCGAAACTGCCGTAATTTAGGAATTGTCATTCCAAGCATCTGAGATGGTTGATCACCTCGTTGAAAGCACGTACAATCGCTGTAATGTTTGTGCTATCCAGACATACCTTGTAAGCTTTGCTTGTTTGTTTCTAACTTTAAACATCAATTTGTTAGTGAGCTAAAGGTGACGTCATCAACAAATTAAGTAAAAATCATAAAATTTACAAAAATTAAGTATTGTTTACATCTTTGCATATAATTGTATTGTTTACGTCTTTACATAAAGCATTGTTTACATCTTTGTACGTAATACTTATTTTTTTCGCGCATAAACACATCTGGTACCTTCATTAGAACATAGGATGTTAATCAAAGCTTTATTTTATTTTTTTTTTTTTTTTTTTTTTTTTTTTTTTTTTTTTTTTTTTGTTGATTTTACTGAAGCGTACTTAAGTTTTGGAAGCAAGTGTAGCAAAATATTTTGTAAATGAAGGCCACCATGGAATCGTATCCGAAAATCTCAACCTCCATATTAAGCAGGGAAATGAGCTATATGGGATTCTTCGTATTCATTTTAGAGTCTCTGGCCCGAAGCCTTGATGTCTTGATGTCCCCGGACCACTAAAGACGAGAAGGTTCAGAAATGACTGAATCTTCATCCCGCGAGCTGCCCACCCAGAAATGATTCTAAGCGGGAACCAAACCAGTGTAAAATTTTCTTTTAATACGAGTCTAAATGAGCATAATAAGAACTCGTTAAACATTGAAAATATGCAATTTCCATCATAAATTACTCGTCAAATGTTAGAATGTCATTTCTTTATTATTTCATAAGTTACTACTTTCATTCCTTGATGAATAATGGCAAAAGAAAGCTGTTGATGATATTTTTGCACTACTAAATAAATTAAATTCTATTTTTTGCTTCTATATAAATTTTTGCCATGGGTGATCACAAAGAACTTTCCCGCAATTTTTTTTTTCGAATATATGCATGTATTCTAGAAAAAGATGGGAAAAGTTTGATAAAGTGGGGAGGGTTTCGGTACTCTCTGATCATTCCCACCCCGATAAAAAATCACGAACTTGCGAGTTCGGTAAAAACCATTTTTTGACTTTTTTATGGCTGTTAAGCACAATTTTATTCACAAAGAATAATAAAGAGAAGCTTTTTCTAGAAACAAGAAATTATATGCAAAAAAAAACGGAAATTTCTAAGATCGAGCCCATTTTAACAGCTGGTGGGTACTGTTCTCGAATCCTCTTTCTGTTAAAGTAATAACTCTTCAAGGTTTAAAGACATTTTATATGATTCTGAAACACTTAAAAGTTTTTTTAAGTAATATTGCGTACTACGGGTTCGTAATAGACTGAATGCACACAGGTTTAATAGGTTGATAAAATTTATTTATTAAAAGAAACTCTTAAGAGTTTTAGAACTTTCCACAAAACTACTCCTCTAAATCTTCACAGTATCATAGAGTATAATCTGTAGTGATACTTCAAACTACTAAGAACGTTAAACCCAACGCAATGCAATGCCATCTAAAGAGAAAAGCTAAACCGGAGATAGTACTCGGAACTCACGATAAGCTAACAGCTAACAACAAGAAATGAGAGCAGATGTTCTCTCCTTACAAAGCAAAACGCGCTGCAGAATTTTCTATGAGAGACAATTATTCAGACAAAAATGGAAAAATGTTCTCACAGTAGAGGAATCTTGGGTATATTTAAATGATCGCAATTAAAAGAGATCCGTTTATTATCGTCAAAGAGAAGAAAAAGTCTTGAAACATTGTTCAAAGAATCTAAGAAAAGAGATTTATGATTGTTGCTGGTTTTTGATCTAAACAAAAAATAAAATACAAACAAAAAATTAAAGAGAATCCAGAAAACTGTTAAGGTCAACTGCACATATTATCAGAAACATATTTTATGCCCAGTTTTTAAATATAAAATAATTTCTCTTTACCCACAGTGCCATCAATCAGTAAAACTGCATCAAGACAAAGCAAGTAGCCGCCCGTGAAAATCCGCTGTTAATTTCCTGGAAAAAATGGAACAACGAAACGTGTATCAAGGTCATACTCTTCACTCACATCTCTACTAAATCCCCTGATGCATCATTCACAGATTTGTTTAGCTTTGGTACTTTTAAAAAGCGGATTGTCCAGACGTCGAACTACAACCCTCCTTAGACTTTGGAAAGCTGTTCAAGAAGAATGGGATAAAATACCTCTTCTGCTAATAAAAAAAGCTTTATTGTCTTGGAAATTAAGGCGTAGAAAGATGGTAAAGAATAAGGGTTACCAAATGGAACATTTAAAACACCAAAATTTTAAGAAAATATTTCTGTAAATAGAATGAAAATCGCCTAAAAATGTGCGAACAACCTTAGTAGTTGCACTAAAATCATTTCTCTAATGTATAAAATTCGTAACAGTAATTTTGCAGTAATCTTTTTTAGTGTATCATTAGATTTAATTCTTTGTTTGATCTAATTATGAACTAATCTCAGGTCTAATATTCAGAGTCAAAACTTCATTAATTATATTACACCAGTGTTTCTCAACCTTTTAGTATTCACGGCCCAATTTTTAATCATAATTTTCATCGTGCCCCCCCTTCCCACCACATACAATAAAATGTATTCAATAATAATGTATTTTGAGTATTTTGGCGCTAAACCTACACTACAACCTTAATTTTAAACTTTACAAATTACCAAGAATACGGAAATTTATTGACATTTTGCAACACCGATCCTCAGCATTGAAAAAACAAGTATCCTATGCCTTTTTATTGCTCTTGCGTCCCGCCATGTCGGGCATTCTCGAGGTTTCGCGAGAAGTTTCGGTTTGTCTGAAATTTGTCTGGTCAGCTTAAAAGTTAAGTTAGGAGCGTGCGCAGATGTGAACAAATGTTTTCTCATAGGGGAGAAGGAGAAAGTTCTATGACGCCAATTTCAATTCCAGACAATCTCATTCGAGTCGATCCTTCTATCGCTATTGAATCTATTCTGAATGTGAATGTTATATATATTTTCGTGTAATTGCAATTCACCGTATTAAATATTTACGGCAGCAGACTTATGCAGAATCGTGGATAAATTTTTTAACGGGCGTAAGCGAGCATTAGACGACAGACAAGCATCAACAAGTACACAGACAAGCGTGGTTCCGAAAATAAAATCAAGAAAATATTCTCAAGAATACTTAAATTTTGGGTTCACTAGTGCTGAAGTTAATGAAGAAGAAAGGACCCTGTGTATCATTTGCTCAAAAATGTTGGCGGCAGACAGCATGAAACCTAACGAACTTAAACGACATTTAGAAACGCTTCATAGTGAGTACGTAAACAAACCCAGAGAATTCTTCGAATTAAAATTAAAATCATATGAAAAGCAAAAATCATTGTTTAAAAAAACTTTGTCTGTGAATGAAAAAGCTTTAATTGCCTCTTACAAAGTTTCATATAAAATAGCCAGATGTAAAAAAGCCTCACACCATTGGTGAAGAGCTTATTTTGCCAGCCGCAATTGAGATTGTAGAAATTATGTTTGGAGATAATTTTGCAAAACAATTGCAGTCTATACCTCTTTCAAATGATACTGTTGCCCGTCGAATTGCTGATATAGCTGAAGATGTAGAGTGTCAGCTTTTGTCGAAGTTACGTGACAAATTGTTTTCAATACAACTCGATGAGGCAACAGATAGTAATAAAGATGCTCATTTCATTGCCTACGTTAGATTTTGTGATGATTTGTCAGTAGTAGAAGAATTACTTTTCTGCAAACCAATAGAACTCAAAGCAACAGCACTCGCATTATTTGCTATCTTAAATGATTTTATGAACGAGGCAAACATAGAATGGAAAAATTGCGTTGAATATGCACCGATGGTGCTCGTTCTATGTCCGGAAGATTCCAAAGTATTCAAGCACTTGTGAAACAAAAATCGCCACAGTGCGTCTGGACACATTTGCATGATCCACAGAGAAGCTTTGGCTTCCAAAGAAATGAGTCCTGGTTTGAATATTGTGTTAACTACGGTTGTAACCGTAGTAAGTTATATAAAAATGAGACCCTTGAAATCAAGAAACTTTTCCACACTTTGTAAAGACATGGGTGCAGTACATTCAGCGTTACTATTTTATTGGGAGGCAAGATGGTTATCACGAGGGGAATTTTTGCAACGTGTTTATGAATTAAGAGAAGAAATTGCAGTTTTCCTAGAAGAGGAAAACAGACCGGAAGCTGAGAATTTTCGCGATACTTTATTTGTGATGAAATTGAGCTACATGGTCGACATATTCGAGAAATTAAATAACTTGAATCTTCAACTGCAAGGAGCAAATACACATATATTGGATACAAGTGATAAAGTTAATGCTTTTTGTATGAAATTGGAATTGTGGAGCAGAAATTCAAAGCAAGAAAACTTAACAATGTTTGCAAATTTGAATGATTGTATTAAAACTTACAAGGCTGAAGAACAACATGTAAAAGTTGTTTTTATAACCATTGAAAATCCTTTAGCAATGCTAGCAAAAAAATTTTTAAAAGTACTTTCTTGCTGACGACAAACTAATATCAAGTTACAAGTGGGTGAGGGAACCATTTCAAAATACTCCCGAAGGACTCTCAATTGAAGAGGAAGAAACCTTCATAGACTTCACGGCAAGCGGCGAAACCAAAAGACAATTTAGCAATAAATCACTCTTTGAATTTTGGGCAGGAGTGGATGATGAGTTTTCTGGACTAAAAACGAGGGCATTTCGCATTCTACTACCATGTTCAACATCTTACCTTTGTGAAACTAGATTTTCTGCGGTGGCTTTTTTGAAGGAAAAATATAGATCTCAGTTAAATATAGAAAAAGAACTGAGATTGTATATTTTTAATATTAAACCCTCCTTCAAAAAACTTTGCTCTGCAAGACAGGCCCAAGGAAGTCACTAATAATTATTAAATTTGTTTTTAATTTAGTAAGTTGTTTTAATTTAATAAGTTAATTATTAAATATGTCGAAATGTATTTTGTTTTGTGTGTGTGTGTGTGTGTTCTTTCCTTTCAGTCACTTAATATTTTTTTTTAAATAACATTTTCTCTTGGATATGCTCGCGCCCCCCTCAGGTTGAGAATCACTGCAGTAGTTATCTTCTAACTACTCAAACGTTCAAGAGAACTTAATTCAAAACAGCTAAAGAAATGTAATCCACGAATTCGCTACAATTAACAAGAGCAGTTTTCTAACAAACTAAGTAACTAACTGAATTGAAATCGAAATCGAGTCAATGGCTAGGCAGCAATTAGTAGCCAACCGCTACTTTAACCGTCTCTGTTGGTAAATTGCTCTAAGGCGTTGGTACTTAAGTTTTTAATTAAGGCGATTTACGCCGCACCAACTAGGCGAAACTTGTCAAATTTTGTGAAATGTAGGTGGAGTGGAGGGAGATGATTGGCAGGAGCCTGTCACGTGGGTGGTCACCCACCCAAGTTCAGACTCCGAGCAAAGCAGCTTACGCGTGCAATGATAAATATTGGATATATTAATAATTATCAAGTTTTGAAACAGGTTATCCAGATTTGAATAATTAAACTAATATCGCAATCTAAATGAAGACAAATGGCACAACTAAGTGCAACAGATTAGCTAAACAAAGTATTCAAATTCATCCTTGCTGTAAAACACAGATTGGACAGTGGTAGTCACCCTGGGGGTCAACTGTCCGCAGCCAATGACCTTGAAATAGTAGATATCACAATTCAGTGAAGTCTTGGTCTGAGAAATTAAAACACATTAAAGTTCTTGTACAACACTGAGGCACATGAGTTACTGAAACTATACACTATGTACATATAGGGACGGCGGTATTGTAGCTTGAGTGCCCATCTTATTAATCTTGGGGATAAGTGTTTCCCTGAGTACAATCTAGTTACCGCCGCATGATCAGAGTACACTGTTATTGGCGCCTTTCCAAAATAGACTCGAAACTTTTGCACTGCTAACAGAACTGCAAGTGCCTCTCTCTCGGTCGCGGAATAGTTTCTTTGTGTTTGATTTAAAGTTCGGCTAAAAAATGCCCCGGGCTGCTGATTTTGCGAAAGTACCGCTCCTACCGCATAATCCGAAGCATCCGCTGAAATTTCTAAATTCTCATCCTTTTCAGGAAATTTCAACACAGGGGCTTGCGTTAATGCTTGTTTTAATTTTTCGAAAGCACTATTGGCTTCGGCCGTCCACGAGAATCTTGCCTTTTTCCTTTTTAATTTTAACAATGGTTCAGCAATAGCTGCAAAATTTTTTATAAAGGACCTATAATATGAACAAAGTCCTAGAAAAGAAGAGAGCTTCTTCATCGTGGTTGGAGTCGGATACTTTTGTACAGCAATTATTTCCTGATTCGTCTGTCTCGATTCCTTTCTGAGATATTTTGTAACCTAAATATTTTAATTCAGGGGCTGCAAATTTGCACTTTTCGACATTAACTTTTAGACCGGCCTCATTTAATAAAGAAAACACCTGTCTTAAATCCTGTACATGTTGGTCGAGACTAGTAATAATGATATCGTCTAAACAGATAAATGTGGACTTTCCAAGAACAGGCCTTAACACAATGTCCATACATCGCTGAAATGTTGCCGGTGCCCCTGAAAGGCCAAACGGCATACGCAAAAATGCATAAGTGCCAGACTTGGTTATAAAAGCAGTCTTAGGCACGTCCTCAGGTGTAATCCCTATTTGAAAATAACCAGTCGTAAGTCTAAAGTCGTCATATATTTGGTGGATGTTATGTTCCTTAGAATTTCTTCAATAATAGGTAACGGATATACCGGATATTTAGTTATGGAGTTTAATTTACGGTAGTCAATTGCGAATCACCACCTTTTTGGATGTGTCAAAGGATAGTCATTATTTTTCTTACATAAAACCACCGGGCTAGCATAACTACTTGAGATGGGCGTTATGATCTTTTTATATAGCATATCGGTGATATGCCATTCTATAATTTTTTCCTTATTCTTATCATACCGGTATGCTTTGTGGCGAACTGGCATTGAATCTCCGGTGTCAATACTATGGTTAGTAACCTGAGTAAATCCTTGGAATATCACTAAATAACGAAGCAAATTCACTTACCACTTGTCGGATTCTTCGCTGTTCTTCATTAGGCAGGTGGTCAAGATTTAACATCGGCGGTTCAAGCCTTTTCTCCACGAACTGGTTTCATCGTCAGCTTAAGGGACGCTTCATTAAAATCCAGCGTTGCTTGTGCCTCTGAAAGAAAATCTATTCCTAAAATAATATGTGCTTGCAGATTCTTTACTATAAAAAACATCACCTTTACTTGTTCGTCCTTGATACGGACATACAGTGGTACTTTACCTATACACTTACATTTTTCTCCTTGCGCGCCGCTAACACTGTCGTATTATCCGAATTATATATACGATATTTACGAAAATACTTCCTAAAAAAATCTTCTGCCACAGAGGAACACTGCGCGCCTGTATCCAGGAGTGCGGTGGCTGGGATATTATTCACCAACACTTCAATCTTCGGAAGAGTCAAATTTTTCACCATTACTGTATTTAACTTGAAGGAAGAGGGGTTTTCGTGGCCTTCGGATTTCCGCACCCTCCCGTCAGCAGAAATCCGTTTTAGTTTAAATTATTTTTCATTTCCGTGCTTTCCTTCTTTCTCCACTGGCCTTGAGACTTTTTTCCTGGATTGCTATTGAACTGTCGACGTTCGCCGGCTGTTTTTGAATGCTCGGGTTTCCTTGCCCACTGATTCGCTTTGCTTCCGTAGCCGTGTGCTCGAGTTTGCTGTAGTCTTGGCGCACCAAATTGGTTTCGCTGTTGATATTGGTGTCTTCTTTCAATGTCCGCCGTTCTTCTACTTTCAAACTGGATTGCTAGCTCAAATAACTTTTCCAGTGTAGTCGTATTTCTTAATTCAATAAAGTCTTGCACTTGGGGCAGTAACCTCGGCAAAATCACTTGAATTATCTCAGGATCCGGACGGTTTCCATACAAGAGTTTGAAGACGTGAATTTTTCTTAAAATAAAGCTTGAGAGATTTTCGATTCTTTGCTGATATATACTGAAAAGTTCCGTTTCTAATTTCGCACGATCCCTTACAACAGGGAAGGCTTTTACTAGGGCAGTCTTGAAATTTCTCGTAAGTATAGGTGGGACTTCCTGCTTGACCCAAGAGACTTCTGCCTATACATTTGAACCAGTTAAGCGCTTGGCCCCTCAAAGCGCTGGTAGCTAAGGTAACTTTTTGAAACTCGTGCACGGGGTAGAGCATGAAGTGGTCATCCAATTTTTCCAAAAAACTGGTTACCGGTGAGTTTCCATTAAATGTTGCTTCTGGTTTCATCGAAGCGCGCATGGTCTGGACGATGTAACCAAATCCTTCCAGGGCGGCAGCTGGCATTTCTGGATTCTGAGCCGCTTCTGCAGGCAGCACAGGTTCTTCTTGAAACTCGGCCATGGTTATTCTTCTTCGTTGGGCGCCATTCTTCTTCGTTGTTCCGTCTTACTTTCTTCGGGAACATGCAAGGACCTGACTCGGAACAGAGAGCTTACTAAAGCTATGTTCAATAACTGTGGGAAGTAGACAGGATACACAAGAAGGGTATACAAAACCCTTTATTTTTGTCTATTTACAATAACTTCCGTACTTCGGAATACAAAGACCCAATACTTGTGGTCTAAACGTAAAAATATAAAAATAAAACTAAACTCTAATTTGACTTTGAAATAATAAACGTGGAAGATTGGCCTTATATTAACAGGAAGCCGTATGTAGTACAGAGAACTGTTAACACTACAATACGTTTAAAGTTATCAAGAGGATTAAACCTCTGGCCTAGAAGGCAACCAGGAACTGAGTAAAACTTCTAAGGTAAGTGGCCTGCTTCGACTAACTGCTTCCTCTCTTTCGCTTGGCAAAAAGCCACAACTTAAGTACTTGGCGTTCGCCAGACAAACTTTGCATAAATACGTTAACGCTTATAATTCTGGCCGGAAGTAGAAAATAAGAAGTGATAGTAAAGATTTAAAATAAAATAAACGTTAGTAAAACTTAAGATCCTTACAAATTAGTATCAGAATATATGCCTTTAAAATAAACAAATATATGAGTATACATACGAAAGTACGTAAACACCAATTCAAAATATTTTCATTAATTTATGAGCAATGACCCTGCATAATAATGCTGATAATCCATAGTAATGTTTTTGTAATAGTCATAGCAAAAGCTTACAAAATCTGATTAAAATTCATTCTCAGTACTAATTGAAACACAGAAATAAAAGCGAAATTTTTTCGATTTAATGTAATTGTATTATGAAATCTATTATTAGCATTAATTAATTTTTAATTAGATAGACGTGTAAGGGCTTTCTAGCATGTATTCTGAAAACGCACTTGAATATTTTTATTTAATCTTTTTGTAATGCAAATTATTTTGTGACTAACGTCAAATCCTTATCTGCGCTATTTTAACGGGGGAAAAAATCTTCATAAACGCAGAAATTTATAAATGGTTACTGTTTGGTGA